TTTTTGTATTTTAGGACAGGGTGTACAGGGCTTACAGGGTCTCACTGCACAGATCAGACTCAAAGTGATCCTCCTGTTTATAGCCTCCCAAATGCTGGGATTACAGGCGCTTGACACCCCCCCCCCCGCCTAGTCTCAATTGCCTTCTCAGCCAGCCCTGGGGGTGAGGCTGGTATGGCAGGCCAAGGGATCAAACTCCCAGCCCCTGCATCTGCCTAAGAAGGCAATTCAATCTGCTGAGCTATTTGGCTGGCCCGCCCGATACATTATTATTAACTAATATAGATGGCCTGCATATAACCCTTTTCTCTTTGTGTTTCATATGTTATATTTTCTTTGTTTGTTTCAAGTTGCTATCTCACCCTTTTGCCCAAGCTGTTCTTGAATGCCTGGGCTCAAATTCTTCTCCTGCCACAGATGCATGGTAGCTGGGACAATGGGCATGCACCACCGTGCCCAGCAAATGTGATGAGTTTGACAACTTATAATGACACATATGTACAATTCCAGCATCATACAGGTTTTTTCAACTGTCTTTCAGAATCTCTTGTGCTGATACTATAACTTCATCTGACTTACCTGCCCACTTCAATTCCTTGCTACTGTTAAGTTTTTACTGTCTTTTTAGCTTTTCCTTTTCCAAAATGTCATGTGGCTACCTTATATAGTCTTTTTATGCTGGCTTTTGTTTAGCAATGTGCATTAAAGATTTCTCTAATAGTTGATGATATAGCTCAGCAGCTTAAGTGCCTGCTTAGTAAGCACAAGGTCCTAAGTTCGATCTCCAGTAGCAAAGGAAAAAAAATTCCTCCAAGACTTTTCACCGTTTGACAGCTCAGTCCTTTTTATCACTAGGTAATATTTCATCATACAAATGTACTACAATTTGTTTATCTATATTACTTACTGAAGGACATCGCTTTGCTTTCTTTCTTTCCTTGTTGGGTGCTGGGGATCACATCCATTGTCTCATGCATGCTAGAAAAGTATTCTTCCAATGTGCTACATATAACTCAAACCATGCCTTTAAATTAATGAATAAAGCTGCTGTAAATATTTGCATGCATGTTTCTGTACAGACATGTCTTCAGCTCATTTGGGTAAACACCAAGGAGGGCAACTGCTGAATTGTATAAAATATATTTCTTTTCATTAAAAAATTGCCCAATGTTTTCCAAAGGCACTAAATCATTTTCATTTCCATAAGAATTTCTTTTGCTTTGTATCTTAGCAAGTATTTGGTGTTGTGTTTTAAATTTTAAGCATTTTAGTAGGTTTATAGTCATGTCTTATTGTTCTAATTAATACCGCTTTGATAGCCTATATATTTCTTAATTTTTAGGTTTTCCGCTCCTATTTAGACATTTTTTAACTTGTGATTTCCATCAATGTATGTTAAGTGTCTATTATAAGCCAGTAACTGTTTAAAAATTGGGTTATTTTTCTTTCTTTTATTCTTTTTTTATATTTAGAGTAGGGTCTACAGGGCCTACAGGGTCTCACTGCATAAATCAGACTCATAGTGATCCTCCTGTTTGCAACCTCCGAAGTGCTGGGATTACAGGCGCACACCACCAGGTCCAGTCTCAATCACCATCTCAGCATGTCCTGGGGGCGGGGTCGGCATGGCAAGCCTGGTGATCGAACTCCTGGCCACTGTATCTTCAATTCTTTTATTATTTCTTTCCCTTGATCTTATTTTGTCATGTTTCATTCATTATTTAGGTCACATGAATAATTAGTTTATCTATTGTATTTGTATGCATATAAACTGATTAGTTTTTACATTTGTGTGATAATTTTAAAATTTCTTCAACTTTCTTCCTTCAAGCTTCTATCTTCATTTATTCACAGTACACACAATGCAGAGTCTCAAGTATCATGAAAGATGTAACTACTGAAAAAAATACCTCAAATACAGAAATCACTTACCTTGATTGACAATAAATCTTAATTTCTGTATTGTTGACAGATTGCCACTAACTCTATATATTCCATCAACATCTAGACCTGAAAACAAAAGGACATATTTTATATTAGTCCATATAAGACCTCAGTTGGTAAAAAATAAACAGAAGAAAGGAGAGAGTAGAAAATAGCTATCAAATATCTCTTCATCACAGAGAAAACAAATTTCTACAACTTAAACTGAGCAATCATCAAAAGTTCAGTGACTGCTAATGTTAAAGTTCAGTAAAAGTTAATCACCAATAAATGTGAGTCTCCTCAAGTCACAAAAGAAACTACAGGTAGCATGGGATTATATCACCTTTTCTATGGTTAGTTGCAACAAAAATATAGCAGATGAACTGGGGGCATAAAAGAACCTCTCATTAATATATGCTACTTCTCTGTTACAGAAAGGTAAATAAAGGTGTTTGCATGGCATACATTGGTCTGATTATTTGGAACTACTAGAATGAAACTAGAATGAAAATCCTGATCCAGATGTAAAACTATCTAGCATATAGTAAATAATGCTTTTTTATGGTGGGGAGGGATAAATGGTGCCATTAGTTTTAGATTACTTTAAAACTGGGCATCAAAATGGCTTGATTTAGAAGAGGATTTAAGAGATCAATTTCCTTTTTTGACACACTTATTTATGGTGTTTTTTTTATTTTTTGAGCAAGTTGTTAGAATGAGATATAGAAAAATTGAAAACATAATATAATATAATATAGGATCATATAGTACAATGAAATGCGAGAAAGTATATTGTTTAACGTCTTTGGGCTTTCAGAGAGGCCTGGGTGAGACTCATATCACTTTGTCTAAGAAGTTGAGAAAGTTCTATGGGTGAGTCATTGTAATTCATAATAGTGTCAATGAATTGGGAGAAATCACTGTCATATGTAACAAATAAAGGCAGACATGAAGTGAGCGCCATCAGCTCTTTATCCATGTCTGTATTTTTAAAAGTTTTATATTAGCGAAATCACTACCACTTGGAAAACATTTCATTGGTATGTTAGAGTAACATAATTTATAGCACTGATCCTAGTGACAAAATTTAGAACAGTCATCATTTTTATTCTTCTACGTAGTAAACTATGTAGTAAATGACTTGGGATAGTAGTGAAAAAATTGAGTAGCTACTAGTAAACATATTACTGGGAATGGTTTTATAGTTCTAGAGTAATCTGACAATTAACATTAAATTATTGACCTCCCCCACCCAGCCGGCTGAGTAGGAATTTCTACCGCGTTCTGGGAACCCCAAACCCAGTTCTAGCCCAGGTCCGGTGAGTGTGTGGGAGAGCTTCCAGCTACCCTGCACCGGTGGGACCAACTCCAGGTCCCAGCCCAGGTGCAACATGGGTCAGACCATCTTCCACCCCCTTGGGACAACCCCCACCACTCCGCAGCACCTCCTCCACCCAGCGCAACGAGTAGGAATTTCTGCCGTGTTCTGGGAACACCCAGACCCAGTCCTAGCCCAGGCACAGTGAGCGTGTGGGAGAGCTGCCTCTACCCCTACTCCAACTTGTCCCCTACAGGCTCAGTTCAGGCCTGGTATACAGGCCTGGGGTGTAATCCTGCAGCTGCAATCCCTACAGAGATGGTAGAGGATAGAACCACTCAGCTAGTCCAGGAGCAGTACATCTTGCCACAGGGGCACAACAGGTTCACCCTCAAGGGCAGCAGCGGAAAGGAGCTGAGCACAGCAGCCAGACCCAAGCCAGGCACAGCTGGATAAGTCCAGACTTTGTAGATCTGCACCTGAAATTCAGTATGTACTAAGGTTATAACTACAACAAAGATCTACAACAAAGGTCAGAAGACAGTGCTACACAAAATGACGAGAAGGAACAAAATGCAACCTCAGAACCCAACACCACCTGTAAAAAGTGCAGAGGACACTAACACAGAACAAATTGGGAATCACACAGCTGAAAATAATGAATCAATGGCTTCTGAAATAAAGAAACAGCTGCAGAAAGGCATAGAGGAACTCAGATTGGAAAAAAAAAGAAATACCTGAATTAATAACATCTTCAGTAAGTAATCAAATGCAGAAACATATGGAGGAAACACAGTACCCACCAGAACAAGTGTGGAGAACACTAGCTTGGCTCAAATGCATGAATTAATAGGGTCAGTAGTAAATAAGCAACAGCAGAAAGTTATAGAGGAACTCAGAGAGCAATTCTTTTCTGAAATAAAAAAAGAATTCTCAGAACTCATAGCATCTGAAGTAAAGAAGCAACTACAGAAACATAGGGAGGAAACCCAATCTGAAAAAAACACTGCAGTAAAAGAATTTATAACTGCTTCTAAATAAAACATTGTTAAAAAAAGAGGAGATTAGAAAAATGATGGATTCCTTGAATGAGCAACTCAGGAAAGAAATAGATCGCATGAAGCAGAGTCAAAGATATAGAGGAAATGAAAACCTCAATCACAAACTTGCAAAACCGTTTAAGTGAAAATGAAGACAGAATTTCAGATCTTGAAGATGCTGGTGCAGCTAGTGAAAAGGTAAGAAAAGATCTCTTAAAAACAATGAGGATGCATCTTACATCACCTGTAAGATGATGCAAAGACGAACTATGTGAGACTAATAGACATCAATGAGAAAGAAGGAGTCAATACAAATGACATTAAAAAAATATGGGCAGAAGTAATAGCAGAAAACTTCCCAAATATGAGGAAACAATCTGACATTCAGGTAACTGAA